GGTGGGGGCGTAGTCTCTACCATGGTCATGGATGGGGGAGATTGTAGTATGCATGGTGTTGGAGGGGATGAGGGTGTAAGTGAAGGGGAAGGTGAAGGGGAAGATGAAGATACAGGTATTGCTTCTTCTTGTAGAGGTGTTTGTGCTGGTTTAGGAGAGTTTGGTTGAGGTTTGGTTGTATGTTTATGATCGTTGGTTGAGCAATCTGATTCTTCTGATGTGTCCAAGTGGAACACTAGATCTTCTGTTGAGTCCTTTCTAGGGCTTGAAACCTTGTCATCCACTTCCATTTTGGTTTCCTCTTCTACCTTGTGAATATTTGTTGGTGATGTTTGGGAAGACAAGCGCTTTACATCAATTGGGTTCAACTTTCCCACAGCTTGAACTCTGAGGGATGACAAATGATGTGGTGAGGCACAAGAACTTCTTGGACTGTCTCCATGTCTGGCATTGTATTTCATCATCTCTGGGAGCACAGATTTAGGTGTGGCAGGAGAAGAGCAGCAAGAGTAGCTGCTGTCTGAAAAGGAAGAGCATCTCATTATGTATTTTCCAAATGAGCTGGACCGTGGGCTCATCAACTCTTTCTTATGGTGCTCATATTCCTCTATGTCAAATTTCTCGCTTGCCAACTTCATCAAACTGTCTAGAGTCACCAACATGGCCTCACCTGAAAAACAAATGAAACAACTTGAGGGGTGGAAATTGTGTAAACATAGACAATTATAAATATAAATTTGGCACTTTTTCTTCATAAACATGATTCACACAGTATCTCAAAACAATAAACAAAAAATTAATTTGCACTTGTGAGACTTAAATTTTGCTGATTGATGCATATAATCTTTCTCATGGCATGTTTTCTTTCTTTTTCCGAAAAAAACCATATAATAACATACCCAAATGACGCATATTGCTGTTATCCTTGCATGATGGTAATGCAATATTGAGCTTATTCATCCAATCATTATTCATCATCCACGATTCTCCAAGAGACTTCAAGGCCTTGCAGAAGTAGGCCATAGTCTGGAGTAAAATAGTAGTCCACATTTAATATTTAGGAGATTAAGATTTCAGTATGATATTAGGCTAATTTCATGTGCTGCTAGCTAAATGTTGAAATTGAACCTTGTCTATAGGCTTGTCCTTAAACTTGGACACTTCACTTTTTGGTATGATTGCAGGGTAAAGCCTTTGTAGATCTTGCAGGGTTCTCATAACCATCTGCAGTGTGACAGATAAATTAAAGACACATTTGTGAAGGAGGCAAGAATAATATAAGGGAATGATTTCATTGCTACAGATTGAAATTATAAATCACCTCACGTAAGGAAGCAGAGCTGTTACATGGAGCTAGGTCCATGATGTCTCTGAATGCCAAGATCTTTTTATGGATCTCCACCATTAATATCAATTGGTCTGCTCCCACGAATGACAATTCCAACGACTCTCCATTTTCTTTGCTCTGAGTCTGCGCCTTCGAAGACTTCTTAGGCGTAGAGACTTTCATTCCCTGCAAGTGGTTAATGGTTATACGTTATGAATGATGCCTAGGAAATCTAATACAAATGTTTATAGCTAACGTTTGAATTCCAACATCTTCTATGCCTCTTTCACTGGTCACATTAATGGCTTCATGATTTCAGCCCAATATCTCATAAATAATTGGTTAAAAGCTAATTTCATGAACGAAAGTCATAAATGACATACAAAAAACAATGCTAATTTTCCTTGAATTTTGAAGCATGGAATATCATACATGTAATAAAAAAATGACAACATAACAAGGGGAAGTTTAAAAATCCCAAAAACATTTAGATTATTTTTTATTTTAGCAAATTGCAACTACCCTTGGGTCTCTAATATCGAATGAAAATAAAAGGGTTGATGAGAGAAGGCGATGGCAGTTAACAAGAAAGGTTTGAATTTACCTCAAAAATATTTGTCTTGCGATGACGAAAGAGTAACGGCTTCAACCCGCAGAACCCCACGGATGTCATGTCTTGTTAATAATATCGACTGAAAATTAATCCTGGCACAAAGGAAAAATGATGTTGATGTCAACAATATATGCAAGCTAAAAATGTTGGGTTAGAAGAGAATGAAAAAGAAAAAGAAATGTTGTACAACAATTAACAAGAGAATGTTGAAACCTTCGAGAAATGGATATAAAAAATAATCGGTTTGGTAACAGAAGATTTGAGATATGCATGCACGTATACATGTGCATGCAATAGGAGCTAGTCTTGATGTCTGATCAATGCGGAAACTGGAGACCAAGATGAGAATCGCAAATGAAACTTTCTGAGAAGAGAGATCAAAGGGAGAAAATCGAAAGAGGAAGGAATATAAAGACTCCTTCCTCCTTCAATCTGATGGATTAGTTTGAGTCGTTTACGGTATTGTTTAGTGTTTATGCTTTGTGTCTTCATATGGTCAATGGCTAACTGATGCAAGAAAAGTTTGATGAGCTGGGTTGGCTTATGTCTAAAAATAACACAACGTTAAACGTAAACAGCTTCCTTCCTTCTAGATTGAGAGGTGCCACATTATTGGAGATATTAATCTTATGGATTTGGACTTTCTATATTTAACTAACCTTTCTTTTCGATTCTAACAAACTCAAAACGATCATCTGCATAATAAAACAGTCAATATCTGATACATCATTATTTTAAATATAAAATAATTGTGTTATACAAAGATTTATATGATTAATTCAAGTAGTAACTTTACAACTCATATTAGCACGCTTACATGCTTGCATGTGTATGTGTTTCTTATAATATATATTAATATATATATGTTTACGGTAGAATTCGTTTACGAGTTCTTTTTATTCAGACTAGCACAACAAATGTTTCAATTTAGGTATATGTTTTTGAATTCTATAGAATGAAGAGGAATGGAGTAGAATGATCAATGATTACTGGTTTCTAAGCATTCATCAATGATTAACACGTAATAATTTCCATGCACGTAAACGCTTAGATGAACAGAATGAACGATAATGATATTAGCAATACAAATCATGATTCACTTTACACAAAGTTCAAAATATTACAGCATTGATAATAATCTAACACTAAGAGATTTAAAGAACACGAAACTACACTAATTCTACTCCTAAAAAGAGAAAAGGAAAATGGCCGAGAAGTAGTCATACCCAAAAACAATTCCTTGCACGAAAGCCATATGCGCGGGCAGAGAGTGCTTGAGAGTTCAGTTCTGGTATGAGTTTTCCGACCCCCGTGAAGGTACGTAGCTTCTGTATTTATAGAGCCAATCAAGAACGGTTAATTTCACGCATGTACGCCACTAGGGGATAACCGCTATCCACTATGCTTGTTACCTGACTCTAAATTGTAACTTCCCATAACCGTTCACCTCACGCTTCAACTTTACTCGATTCGACCCTTAATAACCACCTTAGTGCGCCTTAACTGTTAAGATCCCTTCAATAACAACTCTCTACAATTTCGAGTTACTATTACATTTTCGAGTTACTATCGAGACCGCATTCTAGCTTAACCCCTCAATGAACAATAGATAAATTTTCGAGCACTCCTTTGTTCAATTTAATTAATTCTATTCGAACACATTCACGTGTGAACAAATAAGGCTCTCAATTTAATCTTGGTAGGTGTTGACCTTTATCTTTTGTTTCGAGTAGTTTTCACACCCTTTTCGAGTCACATGGTTTCGAGTGACCTTAACAAATGCCCCCCTAGGAATTCAGTCTTGATGATCCCATTGCGATGAAAGATTTGAATTCCTATTGAGCATTATTTCCGATATTTCTTGGTCTTCTCGACTAGTGAAGCATTCATTTCCCTTCGATGAAAACCTACTCTGGTTCGTATTTAATGCAAATGACCGTTTTGATGATACGACATTGATAGCTTTGACGGCGCATGCTTGCGTTTTTCAACGTCATTCATCTAAGATATTTTGGCGGCCGTTTTTATCATTTGTTTTGAATTTTAAATTAATTCATAAGCCCGTTTCATCTCAAGCCCATTAAAACTCTTTTTTACCCTAAGGTGAAAATCACTTGTTCACTTGTTGCTTCTTTGCTCTAGTTCTTGACTTGCTTCTCCGGTAATCTTGTATTCCGCCTTCCACAAGTTTTACCTTCATATTTGACATGGCCTCCTCTGCTGCGTCTACTTCTGCCGCTGTAGCATCCACCGTTTCTCCTACCACAGCTTCCGCGTCATCTCCAATCTTGACTACTGCTAAATCCATGGCCATTGCCACCGTCACCACCATGGCTACTGCAGCTCCAACCCAGACGGGTTCTTTATTAATGACTGATGCTCAGGTGTGCAAAGTCAAAGACGGGGACGATACCTTCGTCCCTATCCCAGGCATGGAAGAAGCAAGTCTTAAAATCTTTCAGTCCCAGGTACTCCTTCCTTTCACTCTTGCCAATGGTAGTACTCATGCTTTTTTAGGTCCATTTGTGGGTCAAAATAAGAAAAAATATGGGAATACTTTGTTGCCTCAAGATGCGTCTTCCTTACCCTTCATCCATTCTTTAGAAATAGATCTATCTTTGTTCAATGACACCACTAAGATTTTTAGGGCTTTTCCCCCTCTTAAAGATAGAGTATGTCATCTACATACAGTAAAAGATAAATCATGAAGCCATCCTCCACCTTCTTGTGGTAAACACAACAATCATAGGGACTTTTGTTGAACCCTTTGCTGATCATGAAAGTGTCAAATCTCTTATACCATTGCCTAGGTGATTGTTTCAATCCATAGAGAGACTTTTGTAGTTGACACACATAGTCTTCTTTTCCTAATTTCACAAAGCCTTCCGGTTGCTTCATTAAGATATCCTCTTCTAGTCTTCCATGTAAGAAAGCTGTCTTTACATCCAATTGTTCAAGTTCTAAATCTTGACAGGCTACAAGGGCTAGAAGAACCCTTATAGAAGTGTGCCTCACAACGGGTGAGAAGATTTCATTAAAATCCACACCTTCCTTCTAACTGAACCCCTTTGCAACTAAACGGGCTTTGTATCTCAAGGGTTCAACTCCAGGAATTCCAAGTTTCCTTTTGAAGATCCATTTGCGTCCTACTACATGTCTTCCTTTTGGAAATTTTACTAACTTCCAGGTCTGGTTTTTCTGAAGTGATTCCATTTCTTCCTTCATAGCGAGGATCCATTTATCTGCTTCTGCATGATCCATGGCTTCCTTGTATGTGGCTGGTTCAGTTGTATCAACTTCTTCTGCTACATGCAACGCATAAGCCATCATGTCTTCAAAACCATACCTGACAGGAGGGTTAGATATTCTTTTTGGCTTTTGATAGGCTTCTGTATCATATTGAGTTTGAAGGCTTGATCCTTGAGGACTTGAAGGATCACTATCATCAACTCTGAATTGTTGCTGTTGTGACTCTTCATTAAAATCTTCTGATTTTTCCTCATCTAGTATGGATCCTGAAGTTTTACCATCCTCCACCTGTTTGAGAATTTTCTGATTTTTACCTGAAACAGTAAACTCCAAACTCGGGTAAAACAAGTGAGATTCATCAAATATAACATCTCGACTTAGAATAACCTTTCTTTCAGCAGGTGACCAGATTCTATATCCTTTAACTCCATCACCATATCCCATGAACAGACCCTTCTTAGATCTAGGTTCTAACTTACCCTCATTAACATGATAGTATGCATTGCAACCAAAGACTCTAAGTAAGGAATAGTTTGCAGGTTTATTTGACCATACCTCAATCGGTGTTTTACAATCTATAATAGTGGATGGTGATCTGTTTATCAAATAGCAAGTTGTGCTGACTGCTTCAGCCCAAAAACTTCTACTTAGTCCAGCATTTGATAGAAGACATCTAGCTCTCTCCAGCAGAGTTCTGTTCATTCTCTCAGCCACTCCATTTTGTTGTGGAGTGTTTCTCACGGTGTATTGTCTAGCAATACCTTCAGCTTTGCAATAATCATTGAATTCTTTTGAGCAGAATTCTAGACCATTATCAGTCCTCAACCTTTTGACCCTTTTACTTGTTTGTTTCTCCATCAAAATCTTCCATTCTTTAAAGCATTTAAAAGCTTGATTTTTGTGCTTCGTAATGAATATCCAAGTCATCCTTGAGTAGTCGTCTATGATTGAGAGAAAATACCTGCCTCCTCCAAGTGAAGGTACTTGAGAAGGCCCCCAGCAATCTGAGTGAATGTAATCCAAAGTAGATTTGGTTGAATGTTGAGCTTTTGGAAACTTAATTCTGTGCTGTTTACCAAAAACACAATGCTCACAGAATCTGAGTTCTTTGACAGTATGATTTCCAAGCAATTGTTGCCTGCTTAGAATCATCATTCCCCTTTCACTCATGTGACCAAGTCTCATGTGCCATAGGTAAGTGAGATCAGGTATGTTCTTTTCAGCAACAGAAACAGATTCTGATATAGAACTAGTTGATCCTTGAAGCATGTAGAGATTTCCCTTCTTAAAACCTCTCATCACAACTGTAGACCCCCTCTTGATCTCCATTACTCCATTTTTAACATTGCACTTAAAGCCTTTGGAATCTAGAACTCCAACAGAGATAAGATTCTTTTTCAGATCTGGTACATGTCTTACTTCTGTAAGAGTTCTGATTACTCCGTCATGCATTCTGAGTTGGATTGTACCTATACCAACTGTTTTGCAAGGCATATCATTTCCCATGAAAACTCTTCCTCCTAATCTCTCTTCATATGTGAGAAACCAGCTCCTATTAGGACACATATGATAAGAGCAGCCTGAATCAAGTACCCATTGATCAGCTGATTGTTGGTGATTGTCAACAATCGAGAGTACAAGCTCATTATCTGAAGAGGAAGTAGATTCTTGGACAGTCACAGCAGTTGGTTTCTGATTTTTCTTCTTTGGACAGTCATTCTTCCAATGGCCGGGTTCTTTACAGTAATTGCATATATCTTTTGGGTTTATGTGATTACCCTTTGACTTTTTCTTTCCCTTGTCTTTTTTTTCTTCTTGCTATTCTTTGATGGATTAGTAACAACAAGTCCTATGCCATTTGGTTCCTCAGTACTTGCAGAAGCTTTATGTCGTAGGTCTCTCAAGTGTAGACTTGCTTTCACTTCCTCTAGAGTGATGAAATCCTTTCCAACACTTAGGGAGTTCACAAAACTCTCATATGAAGGTGGTAGCGAAGCTAGAAGGATCATTGCAGAATCTTCATCTTCAATCTTAACATCAATGTCTCTGAGTTCCATCAAAATTGAATTGAATTCGTCTAAATGTTCCTTTAGTGAAGTACTTTCCTTCATGTGCAAGCCAAATAGGCGACGCTTCAGCATTAGCTTGTTACAGACGGACTTTGTCATGTAGAGCTTCTCAAGCTTTAACCATAGACCACAAGCTGTTTCTTGATCTGCAACTTCATAGAGCACTTCATCTGATAGAGAAAGTAGAATCAAGGAATGTGCTT